CATTTTCTAATGCTTTTCCTAAATTTAAAATTGCCAGATTAGTACTGCATATATTTATTTCATATAACATGTGGTTCCTAAATGTGTATATACTATGAAATGACTGAATTGAGCTAATTTACATGCACTACCTCATATTTATTTATTTGTGGTGAAAACACTTATAGGCCATACTCAGGAATTTTTCAGAATACATTATTATTAACTAGTCACCCCACCACTATGCAACAGATTTCTTGAATTTATTCCTATCTAACTAATCATAGTTTTTATAGCATAGAGCTTAAAGGAAGAGAAAGTTCATGTTAACTATTCTTAAAGGTGATAAAACATACTCTGTATTTATGCAGAAAAAGGCTCCACGTGGAAGGAAGGAGCTGCTATCTCCATCCATGTTTATGGGGAAACGGGCACAGAGAGGGGCAGTGGCTAAGTCAGCTGCGGAACTGGCCAGGAGTCCAGCAAGGCAGGCCGGAGCCCCGCAGGACACTGCTCTGGCAGCGCATCTTCGCAGAAAACAGCACTAGCTGTTCATCTGTCCTTTGATCTCTCTCTGTGGCACAGATAATTGAGAGAAAAGTTGTGGATTCAAGGATGTAGGATTGGTTCTTTAACAGTTACTCATACATCCCTGAACTGAAGGAGCACAACAAGGATTTTCTGCTTCCCCTTCTTCAGGCCACTCAATTAGAGGGCCTGAGTCAGTGGCCACACTGAGGGCAAAAATCACAGACAATGCTCTCAGCCAACACTGGTGAGTCTTGTGCAATATGTTGAAAAGCACTGAGAAAAACTGACAAAGGCAAACAAATGAAAACACGCCAAGCACAAATCCAGTACGAAGCACAGACGACAGTCCATGAGAAGCTATGACTCAAAGCAGTCAATTCTTTGCCTGAAATTAAAAAACACTTGGAAACCTTAAAGTCATCAATATATCAATAATTAGTGCCAACTGGAAACTATCTCCCAAGTGTGAATCACCCTGCAGTCACTTTCCTAATGGCAGGCTGCTGCAATAAGCTGAGATGTGTTCTTTTCTATTCATCTCTGTCCTCTGGCCTCCTGCTACAGGCCCTGGGGGAAGCTGAGAAATGCCGCATAAAATGCGCACACAGCTGCACCTGGGGACAACTGCCACAAACACTTCACACAGAGACTTTCAGCAAGTCAACTCTCACACCCCCAGCACATCTGGTTTAGTTCTATGCATGCCCCCACCTTACTCTGACCACCTATTTTTGGGACATGCTCCGATTCGATTCTTTCTGTTGTTGTTCATGCATTCAATAAGCACTGACACCAAGGAGCACCATACTCTGCGTGCCGAGACAGCTCCTTCCCAGCCTGCCCTTAAGAAGTGTTCTTTAGCACGAGAGCAGACTGAATACTCCCTGGGCTCTCTCTGTGACACTGAGCCACACTCCTCCTTCCCTGCTCTTCCAGCAGCACCGCTCAGTGGGCCAGGGGCTGTCTGACTGTTTATGGCCACACAGGCCAGCTCCAGGACAGCAGGAGCACTTCTCCCATCTCTATTCTCACTCCTGGGATATCTATCGGCCTGAAGACAGACAATGGGATGGCGCCAAGTCACAGCTGCTGAATGCTCTGTGTTCACTACTCTACAAACTTCATTCCAAATTCTCTAAGCAGGGATCCAACCAGGTAGACCCCCCAGTGCTTATTTCTCAGATGAAGACCCTGAAGCAGCCTATTGCTAAGTGTAAGGCAGAGACATGCAAGTGCAGAACTGGCCCTTATGGGAGAAGGAATCAGTCTCTTCTGGGGCAAGGGAAAGGAAGCTTTTTGAAAGAAGAGAAAAGAAGTTTGAAGTCCTTCCCCGGCTGCATCTACCGGGGCCTGCAGTGTGCCAGCGCTGTGTTGCTTCTGTGCAGGGTGTCTGCTGGTTTATCAAACTAAAGCTAGAACCTATCTGAGGCTGGAGGTCTGCACTACAGCAAATGTGTATGAAATGCCCGGTTAATGCTTGCAAGTATTCACATGTTGTGCAAAGGGCTCTACAAAGCCCAATTCCAGGGGCCTCACATAATGAGCTGTGATGAACACACCAGCTGCACCAGGTCCTAAGAGCCTGGCAAGTTAGGCCCCTGCCCCTCACCCCCCTTTAAATACAGAGTCTCACTAGATAGTTCAGGCTAGTCTCACTACATAGCCCAGACTGGCTTTTAACTCGAGCAACGCTTCTACCTCAGCCTGCCAAGTGCTGAGAGGATACGCACACACCATCAAGCCTGGCGAAAGTTAGTCCTTCAAGGTAAATGATCCCTTCTGAGTCAGATCTATCCCTCATTTACTTTACAAGTCCTTTGAGATAAGGACTTACACATCGCTGGCCCTCGCTACTTGGAGCACCTCTTAATTTAGCAGACTTGGGCAACATCAGTGTGGTAGTGCCTATTCCTTAAAGGATTCCCTTCTTAAAGGATGAGAAGCTGCAGACGCATGAGGCCTGCAGTGGGATCCCCAGTGGGGCACTAAGTGCCAGGTGTCTCATGCTTCTCATTCAGCCTCTGTAACACTGTGAGACAGTGACTGTCAGGTGCAAGTTTCTGTTATTGTTACTCAAAAAGTATGAAGCTGAACAACAGAGGAAAGCCAGAATTCTAAAGTTTTAAATTATTTAAAATCTCAATTAAATCAAACCAATCCATCAAACAAAAACAAACAACGTGTGTCTTTATAAAGGCCCATTCTGTGCGGTGAGTACTGTGGTAGGGTGCCTGTCCCTCATGTTCTTCCACACTGTGGACACATGGACAGTCACTGAAGTTCTTTAGTGCAGAGGCTTGCATTTCACACAATGCTTTCTCCACAGCCCATTTTGCTGGATTCTGATGACAACCCCACAAGGCAGGCAAGAGAAAGCCGAGGCACCTTCTTCAACTCAGCCAAGAAGGAACTAGAAGATTTGGTGTGACAGACTGTGAGGCCGCTTCTCATTTTCTATGCTACTCCAGCACTGTGACACCTGAAGCAGACGCCCTGAGCCTACTAGGGTTTAGTGTCTTTATCTGCATAGAGGGATGCAGACTGTGTTCATCTTTCAGCATTCTATTGGTGCTAACCCCCCCCCCCCAGTCCTAAGGTTATTTTAACTTATCAATGACAGACAAATCGTGGCAAGCCTGAAGCACTTCTAACCTTCAGTTACTCTCTCTGGAACTCAGCTCTGAAGAGAAGTCAGGCAGCACAGTGTTCCTAAGCTGAGAATACAGAATTCTGAATCGTGTTGAGATTGGAGCTCTGCTCAACCACAAGGAGGCTTTGCCTTGTGGTAATTGAGGCTAAAATTTCCTGAATTTTAACGAAGTGCTGAGTTTCTTGAAAATATTCCTAAGTAGGGTTCAAAAGAATCCTTAATATTGAGCTCCCCTGTATGTGGGGACTTTGCCATGAGCAAGCTTCTGCTTCAGCGGAAAATACCACCTAAATTCACAGTTGTGAAGAGGGACCATGGCTCGGCTTTCCAGGCCATGGAGAAATGGTTCTCGTGCAAATGGTTCTATTTGCAGAATGAAGAGGAATAAATGTAGGGCCCACAAAAAAGAACTATCTCTGCATAAGCATCAGCTGATCTTTAACAATGTTTCTAGTAGCTCCATTCTAAACATTACTAGTTTTTCAAATGCAATGACATGAGTCAAGGTAGCCATGTCCCTTATAAGTCATAAGAAGGCTGCTCCCTCATGTCTTACCAGTAGGCAGACAAAGTCTCTGAACCTGATGTGCCACTGGGAGCAGCCAGGAGGGACACTCAGTGTAGTAGGGAGGGATTTCTATTTTCAATTATGGGCTATCTTTTTAAGGGGCAGGATAAACAGTCTATCCTTAGTTGACCACAGTTGGTATGGCCAAGTCTCTAAGCTCTTGTTTCAGCAGCTGAATCACTGAATAAATTTAGTCTTTGTTTTCTGGGTCTTTGGTAAAGAGCTAGAGTTTATTCAAGGCAGCAGAGGTATGCTTGGCACTGAGCCCAAAAGGGTATCTTATGTGGTTCTGTGTCCCCCTGAAATAAAATCACAGAAGGGGAAGAAGGAAGTGCGTGTCAGTCCCCAGGACTGGTGCCAGTTTCTCCTGCAGCCCAAGTGGCAGATGCCTGATGACATGGAAACTCTCTGAACAGATACAGAGAGGCATCTTGTCTGGACAGGCCATTGTATCATGTCTATAACCACAATAAGGAGAAGGGAAATCTTTCAGTCGCCTCTTCTACCCCTTATTTGGTCTGGGAGCTTTCCGCAGCCCCCTTCAGGGCACACAGAGCGCACCTCTGCTTCATCAGGTGGCTACCCTGGACGGTCTGACTTCCCAGGCAAACAGCAGCACAGCACTCAGCACGCTAGTGGTGCAGCTTGATGTGTGCATGATTTTAAAAAGTATGTTCCAATACAAGGCGCGGAATGGTGGGAAACACCAGCAGGGCAAATCTTTGGCTACATGTGCTACTGGTCATCTTGGATGAGAGAGAGCTGCTTAGGCCAAAGCCTTAGTTTAATTTTCATTATTTTATGATGCATGAGGCCATTTGGGGTCTCTGTAAGAACACAGCTTCCATTTATAACATGATTTCAATGAAGAATAAGCTCTGAAAAAACACCACTTTGTATAAAGCTCACATTCCCCAGAAAATAGCCCCAGTGTGATTATTCAAATAGGCACGGCATTGTGCACCGAGAGGCTCTCAAGCTCTGTGCTAGCACGGGCTGAGCACACACGGAGCACCCTGCATTTTCATTTACTGGCAAAGACCACACTTGAAGCTGCAGCTCAGGGAACCTGTCAGCTATCTCCACGACTTCATATGCTGGCATTTCTGTGCCTTATCTTGTCCCTACTCAGGTATGAACAATCTGTCCAAAGAGTGTACAGGACGAGGGCCTTGGTGCTGCAGAACAGTGTGGTAGGTGTGTGAAAGCTGAGCTCCACGCTCTTTCCAGGGGAAACTCCCCTCCAGAGAAAAGCAGTTTTCAGGGCAGAGTGCAGGCGACAGGCTAGAGTCCCAAGCAGCTGAGAGCCTTAGGCCAGTTCCTTGGTATCTCTGAACCACAGTCCCCGCATCTACACCATGCCAGGACCTACCTCTTGAGATCACAGAATGAGAACGCTTGGCTTAGGCCCTCATGGACGAAAAGTGGTCCCCAACTGTTAGCCATCATTACTACTACTAGCACCTTCACACAGAGGTACGCAGTGTAGAGAAAAGTAGTATTTCAAAGCATTGAAATTCTACCCCGTGTTACACACAACACAGGTTTTGGAGCCACGCAGATCTTAAAGACCGTATCTCTCTTCTATCACGCAGCAGCTGTGCGGCCATGGGAGAACGGTTCTATTTGTTTGAGCCTTGGTTTCCTGTCCTGTAAAATGGACATAAAGCACACGGACTACTGTGGAGCTATCACAAGATAACGTATGGTGTGTACACAGCAACACTGCCCTTCTTGCTGCTTGTACCTGTTTCACACCGTACTTGACAATACGTTCCACATGGTGCCACTCAAACACACCTTCAGTTCTGAGCCCAAAGCTGGAGGGGCTGCCAGCTCCGAGGATGGAGCTGCAAAGCCCTTTCCAAGCCCATACCTTTCCCGGCGTTCCGAGGGGGCAGCGGGGGAGCCTCTGCAGTTGGTGACGTGGGCGAGTCTGTGCTTGTGGAGACGAACATCTGGTTGGTGAAGGCTCCGTAGGAGAGCCGCTGCTTGTCCCGTGGAGTGCTGAAACCGGGCAGTGCCAGCTTGTCTTGCGGGGAGATGCTTGAGGAGTGGCAGAAGCTCTGAGGTCTGGGCGAGCGCTCTTTCTTGACAGGACTTGGCTGGTAGATGAAATAACAGTGGATGAAATAATAACTGAGGACTAGCCCTGAGGTGTATGAAGACCTCCGCAGGCTCGGATCTGGCGGTCAGCTGGATTCCTGAAGCTCTGTGCGCAGTCTGAGGTCAGCCACCACAAGCACCCCATGGCAGTGACACAGTGCATGGGACGACGCTTCCATGCCCCAGCAATCACCTATTCAGAACTGGCTAGGGATCCTCAGAGTACTCAGAGAAGCGCAGTGTAAGGTTATAGTCAGATTTAGCCTTTCATTAACAAATACCTGCCCTGTGCAGGACACTTTTCACCCACATTCCAACAGCATTCCCATCCATCTGTAACATGCGACATAAAGTTCTTTCTCTGCTCAGTCCTCCAATGCTGAAGTTCTCAGTCTTCAGCACTCTAACTTATACCCTCTTGGAAAGGCAGCTCACTCCTACCATGGCTCTGAGGGCTCACAGATATGCTGATGAGTCACACACCCGTGAATCCACCTGACTCTTTCAACTCCCAAACATCTGCAACCGCCTCTGCAGTGTGTGGCGTTCATGTGCAGACACAGTGTCAACGTCCACTCAGCTGGCCAAGAGGCCCCAAGCCAACTGGAACCCCAGGCACTGCGCGGACATATTGGTATGGTCAGCACTGTACGGAAGAGAAAAGTTAAAGAATTTAGTAACCCATGTAAATTCTCATCTCTAGTAAAGACAGTCTCATGAATTAAGAACTACCTCTAAAAGAGTGGCAGAAAACTTAATTCATGAGACTGTCTTTACTAGTGATGAGAATTTGCATGAGTTACTTAATTCTTTAACTTTTCTCTTCCGTACAGTGCTGACCATACCAGTGTCCTTTATGCACATTTGGTAAAGATGGACTGAAATAACACAAGTGTTCAACACAGCCTTGTCCATAGTTAAACACTTCCTAAAAGCAATTTTTAGTGTTTATTAATTGTTGCTTTGCAAGTCAATTAATATGTTAGCATATCTAGTTTATGGTATCCCAGTGTTTGATCAAATACCAAAGTTGATGTTACAACATTTTTGGGGGGCAGTGGAGTGGTGGTGGGGGTGTGTGGGGCGGGCAGAGTTGAGGACTGAACCTAGAGCCTGTGCATGCTAGAGCCTGTATCGATCATCCTAGAGCCTGTGGTCGATCACTAAGCTAGATCCCCAGACTACATTGTATTCTAAGATGTGACTGACCATTAGAATGAGAAGATTTTTGTACCACCCTCCACGGGAGCAGGCCTGATCCAGTGAGTTGGAGGGCTCAAGGGAAAAGCAAAGAATTGTGCTTCGAGACTGCCTTCAACCTCAGTTCTGTATCACCTCTTGCCCAGACCTGCACCACTCACAGCCTTAACATAAATCTCTCCGTGTCCTTCTACGCTACTTGTTGTTTCTCTGGAGAACACTGACTAGGACAGCTGTCGAGGTCTCGAGCAGGGACTGGTGGTTCAGCATCAAGAATGGTGCTTGGTACGCCAGGTCACAAGATGAAATGGCTCCTGGCACAATGCAAAGAAACTGGGAGGAGGCAGGGAACTCAGGGCAGCCACGTACTTACTTTGTCATCTAGATCGTCATCACTTTCATCCATCTCCTCCTGTCGAAGGTTCCACTCATATTCAACATGGACGTGTGGGTTGAACTTGCCAGCTTTAGCTTGGGAAAGCTAGAAGTGACAGCAAGAGTATAACATTTTAAACAAAATGCCAAACATTTTAGACACCCGGGCATTACACAAACACTGACCAAATCCCAGTTTATTTCTGTTTTCAAGTGAATCAGCAGCAGATGTTCTTTTTGTATGCAACACTGATTAAGACAAGTTAGGCTACTAGGCACAGTCCTTCTTATTTTGATATCTTTATTTTTCTTTAAAATCAAAAGCTTTCTCAATATGAAAATGAGTGTTGGTGGCACACATCTCTACTCCTGGTATCTGGAAGGCTGAGGCGGAAGATCAGTGTGAGTTGGAGGCCAGCCTGCACTGCAGTGAGTTCAAGGCCAGCCTGAATTACACGGAGGAGGCTCCGTCTCAAAAATTGAACAAGTCTGACCTAACCCAACCTACCCAACCCCCAAAAAACTAAAACAGAATTTTCATAACTGCAAATTCCTGGCTGGAATTCCAAACAAATTTAGGAGTCTGTCAAGTTTCAGAGGTAGGGTCTAGGCCAGTGATGGCAAAACTTTTAGAGCTTTCAATGATAAAAGCACTGTGGTATGTGTGCCACAGGGTCACCACTATTGTCGTAGTCTTTTTCTTACTTATAAAATGCAGGCAGGGATAACCTGTCTCTAAGGATTCTTACTTTTTGACAAAGGATCTCACTCTTTAGTTGAGACTGGTCTTTTTTTTTCCTGTACTGGGGATGGAACCTAGGACCCTGCACACACCACTCAGGCCCTCATGCCACTGAGCTGTCTCCCTGGCCCAATTGAGGCTGTTCTTGAACTCCCTATGGAGTAGAGGTTGGCCTCTAATTCATGACCTCCTGCTCCAGCCTCTTGAGTGCTGGGATTACAGGTGTGTATCGCCATGCCTGGATCTCAGAGGAGTCATTTAAGAGTAAAAGAAATTCAACCACTAGGTCTGGAATCTGGCACTCATCATACATCGGAGGGAATGTAACTTTTTCCCTCTTATTTCTTCTAGGCATTAGCCTTTGATTGCAGTTCGTCCCCTCTAAAACTCATGTAATATTTAATACCCACTGTGAAGGACTGAGTGGGAATTTAGTCTGACGATGGTGTTTGGAGGGGAGGACTTTGGGGTGTAAGGATTAGATAAGGCCATGGGGTAAAGCCTCCTTGACCGAACACTGGTAGCCTTGGAGAAGGGGGATGGAGGTCGGACCCCCCCCGCCCGCACACACACAAAGAGGCATGCGTGCTCCCTGTCTCTCATGGCACGGAGGAGGCCATGAACCAGAGATATGAGTCAAAATAAACCTCTTCTTTTATAACTCACCCATAGTGTGGTATGTGTTATCAACAGACTAAGATTATTAAGCAAGAACTCATGAAGTAAAAATAGAGAATGCGCAAGAAAGAATGGGGAACAGTTAGGAGAAAAGCATGTTTAACATTTTGAAAATCATTACGCTCTGAGCTTTCCTTGCCTAATTTTTCAAAGTGGTTTCTCAAATAATTTTTCACTGTTGCTGCAGAGAAAGCCTAATGGTCTGACAAATCAAAAATAGGACCTCAATCTGTAATCGCATACGGCAATGACGCCACCTCTCCAGTGCCTTTCAGTGTCCCTGTACTAACTATGCTTAAAACCCACGTGGATGGCAGACCTGCTATTCTACCACTTCTTCAACACAGCTTAGTAGAGCTGGGGAGATAGCTTTGCGGCGTAAGGGCCAGCCGTATGAAAAATACATAAATTAAATTTAAATCTCTCTCTCTCAGTGCTGGGTACATTTCTTTAGACAATGTTTACCAACATGAATCTGCTCCTTTTATTTCCAATTCCAGCTTCTCAAAAATGACATTTTCCCCCCAAAATGACATTTTAAAAACAACTGATATTTAATAAACTTCCCCTTCCAATTTTGCTTACCAGATCTTCACACTGGGTAGCTTTCAGTCTCTTTGCTATGTCCAAGGCAGTTTCTCCAGCTTGGTTCACTAAAATAGGGGGGGAATAAATTTCTATTATTAATCTAGGCTAGATCTTACAAAGGCAATGGGCAATAATCAAATACAATATGCAACTATGAGTTTGAGTGAAGAAATATTCTCAGGTGGTTTTGAAGACATTTAGTGAAACTCTCACCAATGTCCACAGTGGGCTTGCTCCTGAGAAGCAGCTTCAGACACTCAGGCTTGCCATACATGCTACAGTAGTGCAGAACTGTGTTTCCCATTGAGGTTTGCTTATCCAGGTTTCCACTGAAAAATATGATCAGAAAAAATGACTTACTTAACAACTTAAAACTATATATACAATAGTTCTTCCCTTATTCATAGAGTATATGTTCTTTTAAAACCTTTTGCAGATATCTTAAACCATGAATAGTACCAGAGTCTCTATCTATCTATCTATCTATCTATCTATCTATCTATCTATCTATCTATATCTATATATATCTTACTGTTCCTATAAGATATCTAAGGATAAAGTTTAATTTATAAATTAGGCACTATAAGTAACAATAATAATAAAAAAACAGAATAATTATCACAGTATATTGTGATGGAAGGTATTTAAAAATTATGAATTATTTTTGGAGCTTTCCTACCATGGCAGACTGCAGGTAACTGACACCTTAGAAAGTGAAACCACAGGTAAAGGAGAGACTACTATAATCAGCTCCTCTGTCCTTTTCCTCCCTTCTTCTTTCTCTTTCTCCCCTCCACTACCCTGCATTCTCTTCCTTGAGTAAGGGTCAAATTATGTCTGTGGCATGGACTAGCCCTGAACTTGTGACTGTCCTCCCTTAGCCTCCTAAGTTACAGGGTGGCAGGTACTATGCTGGGCCTTATAACCACTTCTTTCTGTGCTAATAACTAACTCAAATTTGAAGGCTTATCATAAGGGAAAGTTAAGATGGTTCTAACATTACACCCAAATTTGTAAATAAACTGAGGGTAATGGCCAGTACCGAGTAATGGCCTACCAGGGCGCTGACTGAGGCTCAGCTTTCACAAGCAGTAAATCATTTAATCTTCACACCCACCTGACAAGGTACTATTAATAGCCTCTATTGTAGCAATGAAAAACCAAGGCACCGAGAGGCAGATGAAGACAGGGATGATGGAAGGGAGACTCAAAGACAGGCAACCTCTGGAGCCAATGCTCTTACTCACTGCCCTGGGTTGCCCCTAAGGAAGAGGCCTGCACCTTTAGACAACCCAGCTGGTGTCCAGGTACCATTCTCTGTATGTAGATTCAGATTCCCTTCTATTTGGTCACTCTCCTTGGGATAGCTTCAGCTCCTCTATATACTGTTGCTTACAGAGTAATCCAACAAAGAATCCAGCAAACACAAATCTTTGCTACGTTCAGGATTATATGCCCATCAGTATGTCCTTAATTTGAATTAACCACTGATCCAGCTGTTTACATTTGCTGTCTCACACTGAGTTTATGAACAAGGAAAACTTCATAAATCTGGATGCTATGTAGTATTAAGTCCTCTCTCTAATCTTTCCTAGTACAGCAGGTTTGGAAAGAGACAGGATTTCACACTTAGTGAGGTCAGGAATCGGTAGACTACAGCCTGTCAGCCTGTCAGCCATCTTTAGCCCACCCTGTTTTATGTAAATTAATTTCTGGGAACACAGTCATGTTCATTCACATGGCCTGAGGCTACTTTCACACCACAGTGATGGAGGTGAACAGAGGCACTGGAGATTTCACGGCCTGCAAAGCTGAAAATTATTATTACCCGGCCAAAAAAGCTTGCTGAATCTTGATCTGGGCTAATGACATGGCTGCTCTGTGATAACTTCTAAGTTATGCTCAGTTAAGTCAACAGAAGTTTTTTTTTGTGTGTGTTTTAGGGAAAGGTCTACAGGGTGTTAAGGGTCTCACTACTAGATCAGACTCGTAGTGATCCACCTGTTTACAGCCTCCCAAGCACTGGGATTACAGGCGTGCACCACCACACCTAGTCTAGTTAATTTAATAGAGAAAACAAAAACCATACCAGTTTTGTACAAGGAAGTCGACCAAATGGAGCGATGTCTGGTCTGCAGTTCGGACGGCAAGATGAAGGGCTGTCTCCCCGAGCTCCTAGGAAGGGAAGGACAAGTCTAAGTACAGCAGTCACAGGCCTACTGGACTCCGCAGCTCCCGTCCACTCTCCTAGCAGGTAAGAGCCCCCTCTTCCTCTTGTTTAGACAGGTTCACCCACTCACTGTATATGAATCTCATTATATTATATCAAGATAACATAAGCAATCATTTAAGCTAATTTCTTCCTTCTAATTCCATGGTTTAGTGAGGCCTCACCTGTCCAGATTCCAACAGAGGTTCCATCAACTCTACCCCTTCTGCATAGACTTGAATTAGTGCAAGTAAATCCCTGGACTTGATAGCCTCAAGTAATTCATTCAGCTTAGCTGATGAAGAGGAACAGGTTTTCCTGGAGAATCTATGGTCTACGTACTTTGCAGTGATATACTCTTTTCGTACAGTCCTAGAACAGAGCAAAACGAAATGACCAAGAATTCTTACTTTCTAAGAGTTAAGAAAAGTTTAAATATTTCTGACAGACATTTCTATTTGAGAAATTATTTTAATTAAAATTTGCTTCTTTCAAACAAATCAGGTTTCAGATCAAATTATTCCAAAAGAGACAGAAGGAATAAATGTACTACATCAATCACATAAACAAGGACAAAAAAAAAAAAAAAAAAATCACACAACTATCTCAACTAATGGAGAAAAGCCTCTGAAAACTACAACATTCACTTAAGATAAAAATCTTGAAAATGGGCTGGCCAAATAGCTCACAGGATTAAAGCACCTGCGTAGGCAGAGGGAGGGGCCAGGAGTTCGATCCCCAGGCCTGCTGTGCCAGCCCCACTCTGGGGGCAAGCTGAGATGGTGACTGAGACTAGGCGTGGTGGCATGCGTCTGTAATCCCAGCGCTTGGGAGACTATAAATAGGAGGATCACTATATACGAGTTTGATCTACACAGTGAGGCCCTGTCCTAAAATGCAAAACTAACAAACAAACAAACACTTGAAAAGAGGCATTCTAGGACCTTATCTCAATCTGATAAAAGCCTTTCATGACAGATGGTCAGACATCACCACAATTAAATGGTAGCAAAGTTGAAAGTTTTTCTTCTAAAATCAGTAACAACAGCTCAGTAGTCTAGGCGCCTGCCTGGCAAGCACAAGGACCCGGGTTTAATTCCTGGTAC